GATGTGGGACTCGATCCCAGGACCCTGGGATCATGACCTGAGCCGAAGGCAGACGCTTAACGACTGAGCCACCCAGGCGCCCGAGAATACTTTTCTGAAGTACGCTAAATCAAGGTCATATCTTAAGCGCACCAATGGAGACTAGTTAAGCCAGCCTGCCTTCGGAAGATGCCCAGTACCTTGTTTTGCTCTCAGACTGTTTCTCATTGTAGCATTTTCACCTTAAATTATAGGTTTTGCCACCCTCATTCATTTCAGGTCTTTATTTCAATTGCAGCTCGAGTTAACCTTCAGCTACTTGGAGATTCACGGTGTCATCTGCAGCAAGTCAGCTCAGGTGCGTGCCATCAACAGCCATCTGCGTGTCATTGACTGCGGGGTCCTCACCTTTTCTTGAGTTTCTGAAACTGGGAAACTCCTATTTTGGTTTCACTATTGATATTCTCTTGAGATAATGTAGAAAAACAAGATTAGGGAAAATGGAAGTCTCTGAATGACAGACTGAACAGGGGGCTAGGTGGGTAGGGGCTGGGAATGTGTTCTCATAAGGAAAACACATTCTCCAGAACTCAGTCTGAGAAGGACTAATGAGCTGTTATGTGAGCTGGTGATGTAAACGTGAGATTTTGTACAACAGGGTTTAGGCTTAAAATCTCCTAGCTATTATACAGTACTGTCTAAGGTCTTTCTGGGAATACAGTGATACATGAATATTTTGGTGTTAATAAAATAGAGATTTTTATTTTTTATTTTATTTTTAAATTTTTTTAAAGATTTATTTTAGAGAGAGAGAGAGAGAGCGTGGTGGGAAGACATAGAGGGAGAGGGAGAGAGAGAATCTCAAGCAGATTCCCCACTGAGTGCAGAACCTGATGTGGGGCTTGAGGTGGGTCCCCACGCGGGGCTTGATCTCACAACCCTGAGATCATGACCTGAGCCGAAATCGAGTTGGATGCCTAACTGACTGAGCCACCCAGGTGTCCCTAAGATGTAGATTTTTAAAAACAGCTTTATTGAGCTATAATAAGTACTATGCAGCAAACTGAAGTGTACAGTGTGATTAAGTTTTGACATATGTGTACCCATGAACCCATTACCACAATCGAGATACCAAATTTATTCCTCATCCCACGGTCTCCTCATATCCCCCAGCAGACACTCCCGCTTGCTTCTCCTCCTCTGCAGGCATCTGCGGGAATCTCCTCCCTGCAGTTAGAGATTAGTTTGCATTTTCTAAAACTTTGTGTGAATGGAATCATACGGTGTGTGTACTCTTTATTGCCTACCTTCTTTCCATCAGTATAATTGTTTTGGGATTGATTTATTTTGTTGCATGTCTCAGTGGTTCCTTTTCATTGTTGAGTAGTGTTCCGTTGTGTCCCGTTGTGTTCCACTGTGTTTTGTTGTGTTTCTGTTGTGTCTCGTTGTGTTCCATTGTGTTTCGTTGTGTCCTGTTGTGTCCTCCTGTGTTTTGTTGTGTTCCATTGTGTGGTTGTATCGCAGCTGCTTTATCCATTCACCCGGTGAGGGGCAGTTGGGTGTTTATGTTGTTGGCAAGACAAGCAAAGCTGTTGTGAACATGTATGTGTACAAATCTTTGCTTGGATAGAGGCCTTCGTTTCCCATGCATAGATATCTCGGAATGGAATGGCTGAATTGTATGGTAGGTACACTTTTTAAGAAGTTGCTAAACTGTTTTCCAAAGTGGTTGTACCATTTGACTTGCCATGAACGAGCAGTGCATGAGGGTCCCAGTTCCTGCACTGGCATGGTCACTGTATTTAATTTTAGCCATTCTGGGAAGTATGTGTTGCTTTCTTATTGTAGTTTTAATTTGCATTTTTCCAATGACTAAAGATACTGAGTATCTTTTTATCTGCTTGTCTGCCATCATCTGTCTCCCTTGTTCAAGTGTTGGTTAAAATGTTTTGCCATTTTTTAAATTGAGTTGTTGTTTTAAGAGTTCTTTGTATATTCTGAATACAAATCCCTTTGATACACGATTTACACATATTTTTTTCTCAGTCTGTGGCCTGTCCTTCATTTTCTTTGCAGTGCTTTTGAAAGGGCACAAGTTTTAAATTTTGATGATGTCCAATTTGTCGGTATTTTTTTTTTTTTTTTTTTGTGGATCATGCTGGTGTCATATTGAATAAATCTTTGCTCAACCTGAGGTCACAGAATGTTCTAGAGCTTTTGGAAGTGTTACAGCTTTACGTTATACATTTAGCTCTGTGATCCACTTTGAAATAGTTTCTGTATATAAAGCAATATACGGATCAGTTGGGTTTCTTTTGTTGTTTTTTGGGTGTGGTTTTTGTTTTTTGGGGGGTGTAGTTTTTTTTTTTTTGTCTTTTTTTTGCATATGTATAGCATATCCACCTGTTTGAAGGACTGAACTGGCTTTCACTTTTTTTTTTTTTTTAAAGATTTTATTTATTTATTCATGAGAGGCAGAGAGAGAGACAGAGGCAGAGGGAGAAGCAGGCTCCCCGCGGAGCAGGGAGCCCG